AGTGCGTGGACCTGCCAGAAGACCACACTTTTCTCGGGCCATTATCTCCGTAACCGTTCAACTTTGGACATAGGTGTTTTGGGTTATATCGGCATACTTTAACATAAGGAACACCCTCCCGAAGTTTGGTCCATTCCTCCTGGGACACCCTGTATATATATGTGTATATTGTCACGTGTTGGGTGTATAACGCGACAAATAACTTCATGCCTTACTGGATATAGCGAATGTTATTTCACATTCGCTCTTACAATCACACAATTTACAAGCCCAACATTACTGCCATTGGCAGTATCACAAATACTGTACTGCAATTAACTGGTGACTGACTCGTAACTAGATAACTCGAGAACTTGAGAACTAACTGTGAATAGTCTTTGCTGATCCTTATTTAGCCTCGTTCCGGACAACACAAGAAACAGCCACATAATATGCACCACTGTTGTCTGGCGCTGTGTTGCTAGCAACGCTGTCAGGAGTTGTTTACTGCTGCCTAACAACCACAGCATCCCTTGGCCACGTCACTGCTGGTGGGGAAGGGGAGGGAGTGTTGACTTGCCTATTCCCCTAGTAACGACAGCACTCCGATGGTGTTTCGTCACCGCTGGCGGGGGGAGGGGTGTCCTGTATAGCGCAACACGTCACAATATATAAGAGCTGGGATAGTACAGTTGATATAGTGACAGGCTATAGGCTGAACAGCTGAGGGGTCAGTGTTTGAGTTCTGGTAGGGGCAAGATTTTTCTCTCTCCATGTCGTCCAGTCCAGTTCTGGGGCCCACCCAGTGTCCTATCCAGTGAGTACTGGGGGCTCTTTCTCCAGAAGTGAAGTGGCCATGGCATGAAGCTGACCAACGACTTCCAGCAAGATCCAAGGTCAACAATACATGGATCTATACATCCACTCCCCCATACCCCTGCATGGCATAGTGCTTAATTAGTTGTGCATGGGGACAACTTACTTTTGAGATATACCAGCAAGACTCTAACTAATGTATCTGGACTCTGATCTATGTGTCCAAGATCTGAAAGCTTGCATTAACATAAATATAGAGTGGCGAGGAACTGAATCCGAAATACATAGATGAGCTCCAGGTTTCATTGATCTAAACAAAAATATTAACTCCTGCCATCTTGAACTTTTGATTCAAGAAAATACCATGCAGTATCAGATGAATATTCTGTGTGTATTACATGCTGAATGAAATATGGATTTGTGTTTGCAGGCACTTCTCTGAATTGCACAGGGGTTGGCCTGTGTCACAGTACGCCATGCCTCAATGGTGGTATCTGCACCGACTTGGGTGACCGTTACAACTGCAAATGTCCTGCTGGCTTCTCTGGTCAGTGAGTTTTCTGTTTGGTTTTCCTTCTGTTACATTTGATATTTGTCACAATTCTTTGGAATATTTTTCTGTCCCTTCAGTTCATATGACTTATTTGTAGGAATTTTCAGAAGTTTTGTGTCACAGAGAGTATGAGCTTGTGGGTTGTTGCACTGTACACTTCCCATACGCCCCAACATCTTGGAGGAACAGATCACCTCCATTTTCATGGTTGAGGAGTAAGCTAAGCAAGAAGTCGGTAGAAGCAGGTGGCAAGCTGATGTTAGATCATCGGTTCCCAATGTCAATTTGTGAGTCAAAGCAGGGTCGTAGGGGACTTAAGTAGTCTACAGAGAGCATCAGAAGGCAGCTTTCTGTTTTCAGCGCTTCTTCATATATTTGTGATGCCAGGTAGTCCAGTAGATAATTCTAGCATTTTGGAGGAACCTACTGTCTCTTTCTTGTCCTGAAGATGGAGGCAGAAAGTTTATCTGAAATGTTGATAAGTCTCTACCAGACTAGAAGAATCTAATCCCATAAGACAGTAATATAATATTTCGTATCTCTTTTTTTTTTTTTTCATTCTGTATTCTCAGGATGAGATAAATCTTATGATGAAAATTGGTTTCAAATTGATTGAAGATCTGATTTAGACAGGTTTTACTTTATGTCTATATTATATATTCTGTGTAATGCCTAATTTACTTTTATGTGTTGACAGGGATTTGCTCTGTCAGGATGGGGCTGGGTGATGTTTTGGTATTGTAAGTTGACAGACGTCATGTCTGCTAGTGCAGTGTGGTATGTTAGTGCTGCCCCCATTAACAATTCTGCCATAAAATCCAGCATTTTGTGAAATGTAACTTCTAATTCAGTGACTTACATGTAATAAGCATGTTGTTCTAACATGTTAAGACTTGGCTGCCAAGCAACTTGTGTCGCTTTTATGACCTAAAAGATGTGTAAATGTTTTCCTATTTCTCTGTCTTTAGCACTGACCCTGCTGTCTTCACAGCATCTCAACTGAATAATTTTGGCATTCATTTATGAAGAGATGACGGGGAGGAAAGTTCAGTGATACAAAAAGAGTTCATTTCTTGTTATAATAGTATTTTATAGCTAAGATATGCATACGGTATTTTTCTGTGTCATCTTTGTTGGTGATTATTTAATGACACTTTCTGTATCAAGAATATATAGCACTGGATTAAGGGGTGACTGATAAATGATGAACTGGATGTTTTTAGAAGGATGTGTTCCTGGCCTAATCACAATACTGCCCCATAATTTGCATGGAGGAACCAAGAAAATCCATGAAAAACCTCAGTTAGGTTAACTGATGTCCTGGCTGAAATATGAACTGACCACCTCCTGTGTAAAAGACTAGAGCATTATCTCTAGACCAATGTTCGGTCTCTGTATTATCATCATCTGCATAATTTACACTAATGGGAGTCATCTTTTCTCTGACAACTTTCCTCTTATGACTGTGTCTAGTGTTTCACTCAAATCCTGTAGTCATCTGTGTGTAACATGTGCTCGTACCACGTGTTTAAGTGGCTGTAGAAAGGTTAAGCATTTTCATATTACAGTGCTTATTTGCTATGTTATGACTGTTCACCCATTCATCTGTTCAGGTGCAGTTTCATAATTTGAATTCTTGATAAAATTTAAAATCAAAATTGATTTTTGCATGTGAGATTTGAGGTTCTCATGGAGGTGACTTTGAAGAGTACGTCTTCTGGAATGTGACATCATGTAGTGTGGTAGGTGTTTACTGATGTTTTAGAGGAATGTGTTGTCTCCATCTTTGGGGTCACAGATGGAGATACCCAGTTCTGCCAAATCATCGGTAAAGTTGTTCCTGAGTACTCTTTATATTTTTACAGCCATAAATTCATCATGAACAATGTTCAGGTTGGCACAGGCACACATCATGTGCTCCTGATATTTATGTGGGCCATAAAATTGGCAAAAGTGCTCGACCATCTAGTATTAATGGGTTTCTGGACTCTGTGCATTATCTGGTATTCTGAACAGAATGCATTGTTTCACAAAGTGAATCACTTTCTGTCACGGTTATCTCATTGCTGTTTCTGCTTCATATACTGGAGGATGGATAAACTGTAGAAACTTGGTAATGCATCTGTGAGAACCTAAATGGACAGATTTATAGGCCAGGACACTACAGGTGATAGAGCAGGAGGGGAAAGGAAGATGAGATGGAAAATGAAGAAGGAGAAGAGAAAGAAGAAGAATGCAAGAAGGGAAGAACAGGTGGAGAAGAAAATGAATGAGAAATAAATGTAGTGGAAGGAGGAAAATAAGAAAATAATCAGAAAACAAGAAAAAATTAGTATGACCTAGAAGGAATTGAGAAGAAAGGAGATTAAGATAAAGGAGAAAATGAAGAATATAAAAAGATGAGGGAGAAGAGAGAAATATGGTGGAAGAGGGGAAGGATAAGAAGAGAGGAGGAAGAGGGAGAAAATAGAAAGGTTTTATTGTGTTGTCAATGCCACTATTGTAGTCTAGGGGTAACGTTCCCACCTTATGACTCAAGGTACATGGGTTCAAACCCGGTGGAGGTCGTGGAATTTTTAAGGGCGGAAAAATTCAGGGAAGAAGTCCTCTGGCAGGGACTTTAAGCCGTGTGTCCCGTGACATAGATTTACAGCACATAAAAGATCCTCATATCTCTGGGAGACCTCTGAGCAAAATTAGGCAAGTTTCCCGCCCAAGTAGTTTCCACTTCCTCCAGTAGATGGGGATGCCAGAGAGGGCCGACCTCGCTGGCAGAATGGGGCACCAGTACTGGAAGGACATGGCGACTAGTTAGAATAATTAAAGGGGGATGCACAGTAGATCAACAAATGGTCGCAGTGCATGGGGAAACCCACCCCCAGTTTAATGTTCCAAGATTTTAAGATTTTTCCTCATTTAGGTTTCAATTCTACTGAGGTAAAGTCAGTAATCTTAGTGTTAAGTTAAGTCCACCAGTTTAGTGTTCACATCCCAAAGATTCTGTACATGCCTGTGACTTTTCTCATTCTCATTGCTGGGAAACTGCTTATGCCTTTGTGTATATGTTTTCCATACGTTCTGTGTGTCTGCATTTGAGCTGAATGCTGATTGCTTAGTAGATGTATTGCATTGTTTGTAGAATCCTATGGGTGTTCTGCTTTATCAGAAAAAGGTAACAAGATTGCTGTTATCAGCAGTAAAGTCTGATTTTAATAAACTTATCAACTATTATAGTGCATCAGTTAGAACTCCTCCTTTGTGTAAGTTTCCAGGTTATGACAGCGGCATGTGGTCAGATTGTGGTCATCGGTGTTGTGACACTGTATAGTGTTGTAGGTGGATACGAGTGTTTCAGAGGGATGTGCTGACACTTATTAGGGTCAGAGTAGGTGGGCTGAGGACGTGGTTAGGTTATATAGCGAGGCTGCAAGGAAACCAGTCACTCAGAACCATGCAAGAGGGACAGGAGAACAGGAGATTGATCAAAGTCCTTGCTAGTAGGAAGACTGAACAGGAATGTCAGACCAAGTACACAATCCCTGTAAGGTACATGAATAGTTACATCACAGGTGGGGCATCAAATTTTGATGCCGGTGCATGCCAATAAGAATTGTGATCAGAAAATACAAGAAATGGGAAGTTCTGCTAAGAATTAATCCCCTACTTTCCTTTCATTTCAAATTGAGGGTTGCCCTTGGCACAGACCACATAAAAAGCGTTGTGTTTAACAGTTCTTCCATTATTGCATTTGTTTTCATTGCAGCGGGAACTTATTTACAGAGCCACTGCATAGCTCCAATATTCTGGCTTTCAGGCATTGTGTCACATTGCTCTCTCCAAAAGACTGCTCAGCAATTTGAGCTGCTGTAATTTTGGTATTACTGATAGAGGGATTTATGAAGTATACCACTGAGAGTGACTCATATGTCATGAAATACAAAGTTTCATATAGTCTGGTTTCAGGCGTTCAGAGGTTGTTAAGGAGGGGATAGACATATAGGCACACAGACAGCAAGGTGATCTCATAAGTCTACTGTTAGTTTTTCAAAATAAGGAAAGTAGGCTAAAAAGTGATCCTTTGTAGGGACCAGAATAGCCTAAGTACAATTCAGAGGAGTCATGAAATTATAAGAAAAATGTCCCTTTTGGGGGAGCCATGTAGACAGGCAGTGGGGAATGAGAAGTCAGCATTGAGGGCCCAAGGTGGAGGAGTGTTGTCTCAGAAAGAAGTGACTTGCTTGCCCTTGGACAAAACCTTCTTCCATTCCTTCAGGGAGTGGTTAAGTGCCAGCTAGTTCCTCAGAAATGTTGGAATCCACCTACAATACTACATGGTGTCACAATTCAGAAGATAGTAATTGTAAAGATTAAAATGTGTAAGGTAAAGTGCTTAATTAGACATGCTGCCTTAACCTTACCACTATATGAATGGGAGTGGTGAGTTTTATAGATAATATTTATTGTATTATATACAATAATATTTTTGGCAGATGGAATTAACTGTCTAGGATGGCATGTTTTAGGTTCAGGTCTGGTCTGCACCTGAAGGTGACACGCGTGCCAAAACAGGTCATCATAAACAGCAAAATCAACCTGCTGGAAACAGTCTTGTGTTTAAAGGAATATAATAAATGTTATCTATAGCAAAATATGAGTTGAGCTTTATGCCCTTGCCACTTTACATCAGAGGATGAAACCTCCAGAACTTACTGGAATAGGAGGCTGGTTGGACCTCAGAGCTGGTCTGGGCGCTGCAAAGAAGTGAACACATTCTACTTTTAGTGGGCATTGAACCCTGATTCCTTGGTTGTCTAGCCCATAGTCTTGTCACTATACCAGCTGCACTATCCTGACTCAGCTTTAGTTGTCCAGACATTGCAGGTAACATAAGGGACGGCGCTTAGAAGCAAGGTGTCTTGTATATATCCTGGAAAGGATTACTGATATCTTCTCAACTACAGAGTTTATAGAGAGTTGAGTGGATAGGTGATTGTGGCTGATGAATTGGAAAGGATAATAGTAATTTACTTTGAAGCACGAAATTTATTTGAGTAATTTCTAAACATTCAGTTGCTAACTTGCAAAAAACACACTCCATCACCATTACAAAAATCAACTGATTCAGTGCTGTTTATTCTGAGAATCATATGAAAAACATATGTACACTCTGTGGGCAAAGTGCAGGATTTTCTTCCTGATGTTTTAAGCAGATGGTTCATTTATTACCACCATACTTTAAAGGGTTAAGGAGCTGTATCGCTATTTGACAAGATGGACTAACAAAAACCTCGGTATGCCTTGAGGACAAGAATTGGATCGGAGATGTTCTCTACACAAAGCAGGGGTGTGAACCGTTTGGTTAGAATGTGAAACAATATTGTGGCATGTGTTTGTGCATGGTCAGGTAGCTCAGTTGGTGTGCATGATGTTTGTCAGGTGTGCACTGCGAACGCGCTTCACTACTTGACTGGTGCATTGCTGTACCGTGTAGGAACGGTGGCACCTGTATGGGACACAGTTGTGAATGCCCTCCACAGTTTACAGGCCACGCATGTGAGACAATTGTCCAGTGCTCTACCAACCCCTGCCAGCATTCCTCAAAGTGTCTGGACTATGTGAGTACTGTCGCCAGAAGCTGTCGCATTATCACTTTGTGATGACATTTTAAATGTGCTTGGAGTCTCTTGTCTAGAAGAAGAAGTACACAGTTATTGTTGCTGTTTCCATTGTTAGATTAGGTCCCCACTGTCCCATGGCTTTGACAATGTTCCAAAATACAATTATTAATTTTTTATACCTTTCAAATTTCTGTGAAATGTTTTAGTTACATTATAATATGATGTTGAATCATTCCTTCCTGTAGTTTACAGGTACAGAGAGTAAAGTTTATAGTCCACTATGAACAGGTTGTACATTTCTCATTTTGCTAATCGTGGGGTTATTCTGTTCAAACAGCAGAATTTAATGAGCACCCCTTTTACATATTCACACATAGATGTTCAGAATTTGTTCAGAGACATCGGGGATGGTAGGCCCCAACAGTTATAACTTTGTACTAAATAGTGTATACATAATAAGATGGATTCCAGAAGTAATGCCAGTTTTGCTTAAAACTAAAGCTGTCCCTTAGCTGTCACTTTATGTCGAGGGTCTACTGGACTGGCATAAAGGTAGTTGTAAAGTAAGCAGGAAATTATTGTGGTTTTCCATATCATTATTAAATCTGGAGCAAAGTAAAATCATCTGGGGGGTCATGTGGACTCCTAAAACAAAATTTGTACTGCTAGCTTCCTATTGTATAGACATTTTTATAAAATTGTGCCTCCAATTTGTATCTAGTAAGTGTATTCAGTTAATTAAGGTGATCAAATGAATAAAGATGAGCAGTGCAGGACATGTCGCATGAAAGGAAGAAATGTGCATTTTTTGGGGGTGGGAGGGAGGTAAATTAGGGGTCCTAGAAATATATAGGGGGACAATATTAAGATTGATTTTAAAGAAGCAAGATGTGATGGAGTGGACTGAATTCATTTGGTTTGGGATATGGACCAGAGACTGGCTCTTGCGAACATGATAACGATTCTTTGGGTTCTGTAAAAAAGAGATGGGTAATGTCTTGATTAGCTTAGCTATTATCAGCTGTCCATGATTTATTACAACTGTCTTACAGTGCATACATTTATTCACCTTACTCTTCTCTCTTGCACTACATGTTTCAGCACAAAAGTGCCATCTTCAGGTGCTTTTCAATGTACGTCAAACTACTTCATTGCATGCCCTGCTGTCTTCATATTAAAATATATATTCGTCATATATATTGATAAATATTAAATGTTAAAAATATTAAAACTGTTCAGGATTTGCTGTCTTGCTCCTGTGACTGCGTGTGTTATACTGCTGGGCCTGCTGGGTATGTGCAGCAGTATAACACACGCAGTCACAGGAGCAAGACACAACACAAAGCACAATACACACACTTAAGTAGGAAGAGTACTCTGATAGAAGAAGATAGGTGTGACTCGCGTATTGAGATACGACATAAGGATGACAAATCCTGAACAGTTTTAATATTTTTAACGTTTAATATTTATCAATATATATGATGAATATATATTTTAGTTATTTTAATATGAAGACAGCAGGGCATGCAATGAAGTAGTTTGACGTACATCGAAAAGCACCTGAAGATGGCACTTTTGTGCTGAAACATGTAGTGCAAGAGAGAAGAGTAAGGTGAATAAATGTATGCACTGTAAGACGGTTGTAATAAATCATGGACATAAATCAGTGCAACAGGACGCTAAAATATAACATTATTATCAGCTTCTCGAAAAGAGCCCTGTTTAATGGAGTAGTTGTTTAATTTTACCCATTTTTTGGTATCTCCTTGCACTTAGCAAGTTAAGAAATTGGATTTGAAACACTGAAATGATGCCATACTGAGGGCTGTATAAGTCTATATGTGGGGCCGTGCCATAGCTCAAGCAGTTAGTCGCTGGCTTCCCACCGCAGTGGCCCGGTTCGATCCCGGGTCTGGTCAAGTGGGATTTGTGGTTGACAAAGTGACGCTGGGCAGGTTTTCTCCGAGTACATCGGTTTCTCCTGCCAATCTTCATTCCACCAATTGCTCCACAATCACCCTCGTCTATCATCTAGGGCTAGTACAAGAGGCCAGAAGTGGCCACAGTACAAGGGACTTAGTCCCACCCCACTAGCCATAAAAAAAAGTATATATGCTTCCACAATTAACAAAAACCCCACCACCACCAAAGTTGAATCAAGTTTCTTGGAACTTTTCCCAGACACTCACTGGTATTATAACAGTTTATTTTCATCAAGGCAGAATCTGTTTAGATGAGTGCCAATTAATGGTCATGAGATAAACAAAAGATAAATCAAAATTAATTTATGTTTACCAAAATAAGAACACATGAAGTCATGTCACCCCAGGCTTGTTTTGCCTCTGCTATGTCTGCAGTTCTGGCCATGCTGCATGTCATGAATTGTGGTGTGCTTGGTGTATGCGTGTATGGGATGTTAATGTGCGTGCCAGTGTGGTTTTCTGTTACTGTCACACGTGCTTATGTCACTGCACTGTTCTCACCTGCACAGAGTGATGGCTACTACTGTGAGTGTGATCCTGGGTGGACTGGTCCAAACTGTGAGAATGACATAAATGAATGTCACTCAAATCCTTGTCGCAATGCTGGCACCTGTGTTGATACTATCAATGGATTCTATTGTGAATGTGCATCTGGATTTACAGGTAGGGAATAGCTTCTAGCTTTCACATGTGCTTTGTCTCCTGCATGTAGGCTTTTGTGTGTGTCAAAGGACAGCTTGTGTGCTTCAGTATGATCTCATATTATCATTATCATGTCTACAGATTAAGATTTTTCATCTGTTCAGGTTCCAAGTGAACTTCGTAAGATTGTGTGGAGATATTTGTGGGATTTTTTAAAAACTGTCAGTAGTTAGACGGTATAGTGTCCGATGGGAAGATGGTAAATCGGTTATAAATTGGAAAGGATTTGGAAGGAGGTAGTTATGGTCTAATCAAGATGATACCCTAGCATTTGTCGGTAGGAACTGAGGAAAACTACAAAAGCCATCAGTCATGATAACCAGTGTCCTGGCTGAGACTTAAATATAGCATCTCCTGATTACAAGTCTCGACTCTTACTGCGAGACCAACCTCTTCAGTTTTAAAATTTAATTTTAGGGTAGCTCAGTTGGTACAGTGATACGCTATGGGTTGAACAGCCTGGGTTCGATTCCCAGCAAGGGCAAAAATTTTCTTCACAGCATCCAGACCTACTATGGGGCCCTCCCAACCTCCTATCCAATAGGTACCAGGGGACCATTTTCCCCAGGGTTAGAGTGGCCTGCATATGAAGCTTACCACTCACCTCCATCTAGTGCCTAGGTCAAGAATGGTGGAACTGTACCTCCACTTCCCCATATATCTTCATGGCACTGTGTTTAGTTAATTAAGCAGATGGATATTTCTACCTTTTATCTTACTTTGAAACTGTGTAAAGCATGTTTATAATAAATTCTGGGAGAATTCCTGATACCTACATTTCTTCATCTGTTTCATTCCATATAATGTGATTATCAAGAACCATAAGTTAAGAATTACACAGTTTAGTGATTTATTCTGTCTGTAAATATTAGGAGATGCACTGGGACAATTAAGCAGGAATTGGAAGGGCTGCACATGGGGTAAGTTTGGGAGATTGGAGGTAATTGCAATAGGAAGGTATGAATAAGAGGATGGAAAAGATCTGTTGATGTAGAAAAGCAAAATATGAGGCTATGATGAGAGAGAAAGAAGCTCACCAACATTGCAGAGCAGTTTAATGAACAATTGGGAGAAGGAGGAATATATGAAACTGTGCACATGTGAAGCCAGGAGAGGAATAATATGGTGGAAAGTAGGAGTCTGGAGACTGGAAGGAGGCTAGTGGGAATAACAAACAGGGTATTTGCCCCACATGTAGCACAGAAGAAGGCTGAAGCCTTTTGCTGAGCTGTGAAGGAACAAAGATTTGGAGAGACCAGATTCTGAACAAGAGGTTTAGAAATGTGAATGCCCAAACAGGTGTTAGGAGGATAGCAGGATGAAAGAATAAGGAGAAATGGGATAGGATGTAAGAAAGAATGGGCATCAAGTAGCAATAAATGTAGACAAGGATTAATCGGTGTGAGTGCCAGTGGGATATGTGGAATTAAAATGTTAATGTATAATAGATGGGGTATGTGCTACAGGAATTGTAATTTAATTGGGATGATAAAATGTAGAACTGGGGAGTCAAACTCTGCTACCACAAAATTTAATTTTTAACAGGACTAATGGAGTATAAATATAAGCATTTCTGTCTATAATTTCCACTAGAACGGAATTTGTGTTAAATGTGGCAGATAATTACTTACTTACTCATGGAGCTGAGCCCTTCTGGAGGTGCCACCAATTCTGCAGCTACTCAAGAATTTTCCAGCATTTTAAGGAACCTGAAGGTTCATTACCGTGTACACAAGAGTCCTCCACTGGTCCCTATCCTGAGCCAGATCTATCCAATCCATACCATTCCATCCTATCTCTCTAAGATCCATTTTAATATTGTCCACCCCCCTACGCCTTGGTCTTCCCTGTGGTCTCTTTCCCACTGGCTTTCCCAACAATATCCTATACACATTACTCGTCTCCCCCATTTGTGCTACATGACCTGCCAACCTCATCCTCCTTGACTTGATCATTCTAATTATACTTGGAGCAGAGTACAAATTATGAAGCTCCTCACTATGCAATTTTCTCCAGTCTCCTATCACTTCATCTCTCTTCAGTCCAAATAGTCTCCTCAACACCCTGTACTCAAACACCCTCAGTCTATGTTCCTCCCTTAGTGTCAGAGACCAAGTTTCACACCCATATAGAACCACAGGCAAAATTATAGTTTTGTATATTCTAATTTTTATGTTTTTGGACAACAGACGAGAAGACAAAAGGTTCTGGACTGAGCAGATATGACCTCTGAAACTTTGTATGGTCTTCATAGTGAGATAGTCTCAGAAGCAGGAGCCCCATGATCTGTAGGGTTTACAAGATGTTATTAGCTTGATCAGCTGAAGGAGAATGGGATGGGGTAGCATGCAGCATGCATGGGGAGTGATCAGTGCTTGCAGAATTTTTACTGAAATGCCTGAGGAGGAAATATACCGCTTACAAGATGTAGGCATAGATGATAGGATAATACTGTCACAACTTACGGGTGTGTGACTATAGATGGGCTTTGGATTGGTGAACGGATTTATTGACCACTCGGAACTACACTTTACAGATCACTGACACACACAGGCTATATCATCAGCCTGTCACAGTCTCCACTAGCCGTTTCCTGGCAATAGCTTCTACTGAAGGAGATTCTTCAGCTTCCCACACTCAGGCCCTCTTGTCACAGCCGTCCATGCCGAACTCTTGTTAACTGACAACTCGACTAACTGGGTCCCAGGCTGGCGGTCATTTCACAGCAACCTCATAGTCTTCTCTTCACAGGCTGACTTTCAGCTGAACTGACAACTGAACTCCCCCACTCACCAACCAACAGCTTCATTTCACTTCACTCAACTGAACTTCTGACAACTCCTCTCTAACAACTAACTTGTTTCTTTCAAACTGTCCTGCTTATAACATCTCAGCATGGACCACATAGAAATTACCGTTCTTCTGTTGTCGTGTTGGTGTCTGTTGCTGCAGAAACATGTTTACCAAACCACTGCTTAGAAACGGGTTGCATAACCCCATTCTTCTATTGTTGTGGGCATTACCTTGCAATAGCTGCTGTTTACAGAGTCGCTATTTATCAGTGGATCTATACACCAGGATATTTAAATTAATCTAAGGGAAACTAGATTGGAGGGTGTGGAATGGATACTTTTGACTGTGCCTAGCATCCTGCACACATGGTACTGAACTTTCAGTTTCCATAAAAGCGGGGAATTTCTTGACCAGTTGAGTGACTGTTGTGTCCTGAAGGTGTCTGCTCTGTGGATTTAAGTGTACAGCCTGAAATATTTCAACCACAGTCATAATTTACAATCAAGGTGTGTTCATAAAGGAAAGTGATCAGAATATATTTTCTATGTTTAATTTGACTAATCCTTAGTTAATTTCATGTGAGATCCATGGTGAACAAAGTAGCACTGGAGTAGAATTTTGTTCAAATTTATTTGAATTTTCCTCTGGTAATCATCATCCCGCCATTGCCCCATGACCATTTATCACCATCACCTCTGACATGTGATAGCTAGAACCAGGCAGCACATTATCATATCCTTGGTTTTATAGTTCCCATTATCATCTCTGACGCAACACTTTACAGATTGCAGAGTAAGGAAATTAAGTTTTGAGCTTATTATAGTAAGTGTTTTATAATGGCTGGTAGAGTGCTCTGTGTTCACTGCCAGACCAGAAGACATACAAATGATGTGAACGTTCCTTACCTTGCGTATCACGTGTTGCAGGTAACACATGCAGTGTGAACATTGACGAGTGTGCATCGGGACCATGCCAGAATGGAGGCATCTGCATTGATCATGTGCATGGCTACAAATGCAACTGTAGCGAGGACTTTATGGGCGACAACTGCGAGCTTGAGTATGATGTGTGTGGACTTCTTCCATGCAGGAACAACGGCACTTGCATAAGCATCCACAATAAACGTGACTATCAGTGCCGCTGCCTCTCAGGTAGAGCTTGTTCAGAAAATGGGTCACAAGACGTACTGCATGTGTAAAGGTAAAGCTGTCCTTGACCTAAATTCGTTAAGCACTCTGCCATGAAGACAGAAGGTATAGCTCCACCTTTCTTGCCCTCAGCACTAGAGGGAAGTGGGTGGTCGAATTCATGCCCCTGCCACTTCCCCCCCCCCCCAGGAAAGAGTCCCTGATACCCATTGGATAAGATGCTGGGTGGGTCACAGAGTCAGTATAGATGCTGTGCAGAAGATAAAAATCTTGCATTAAGGGGGATTGAACCTGGGGCATCTTGCCCTTAGCTGTCACTATACCAACTGAGTTAACCTGACTCTCCATGTGTTTGTGGTTTCATGTTATTCTTACTTTTTAAAGAAGCCTTTGGCTTTCTCTTTTGTTTGGCCAGAATAGCTCAGTTGGTATAGTAGCAGGCTATGGATTTGGTGGCCAAGGTTCAGTTCTCAGCATGGAAGATTTTTCTCTCCTCCATAGTGTCCAGGCTGGTTGTGTGGGCCAAACTTTTATGCAGGGGGTACTGGGGCTCTTTCTCTGGGAGGAATGTGGCATGGGCATGAAGCTGACCACAAACATACATCTAGTGCTGAGATCAAGAATGGTGGAGGTATACCTCCACTCCTCCATGCATCTTCCTAGTGTGGTGCTTAATCAATTAAGAGCAGGGACACCTTTACCACTACCTTTTTAGTATGTAACTCTTTACTAGGGAATTTAAGGTTCTCACAGTGGCAATTATAGTCATGATTTTGTAAGAGACCAGTGTTTCAGAACAATTTGTTACCTCCATCTTCAGGATAAATGGTCTTCTGCAACAATGATATCTATCTACCAAGCTACACAGCATGACATCCCAGAAGACTATGATCTTAAGTTTCCAGAATTTGACTTTTATTTGGTTCTTCCCTTGCCTGTTGTGGATACGGATAGAGACTGTTACTCATCAGGTGCATATAGGGTACATATCTGTGACATTCCCCATTTGCAACTCTTTTTTTGTCATATTATGCTGATTTACAGTGCATTTTCAGTTATTTGCTCTTTCAGTGTTGTCATGTTTTGTTTATCCGGTAGGATTTGAAGGTGCTAACTGTGAGGTAAACATTGATGACTGTGTCCAAGCAAGCTGTCCAGACAACAAAGTATGTATCGATGGAGTGAATGACTATGATTGCCGCTGTCGGCAGGGTTTCACAGGTGATAATTGTACCACAAGTATTGACTTTTGTGAGGATAACCCTTGTCAGAATAATGCCACCTGTGCCAACACTTACGGCAACTACACGTGCATCTGTCCAGTTGGCATCAGTGGTGAGTCATCACTATGTATTTCATCAGAAGGGCTGTGAATTAATGTCTCTTCATCTGGCTCATTCATTCAGTCACAAAGCAAGCATTCTACACTGCTAATTCCAGAGCCCACAATTGGACACGATCCTGAGCCAGTTCCATCCACCTCCCATCCTCACAACCTGTTTCCGTAAGATCCATCTGACCAATTAACTAACTCTCCGGTAGCAGAACCTGAAGGTTCAACGCTGCTAATGCCAAAGCCCATCACTGGACACGATCCCAGTTCCACCCACCTCACATCCTCACAGCCTGTTACCCTAAGATCCATCTTACTAATTAACTGACTCTCTGGCAACAGAGCCTGAAGGTATTGAAAAATATAAAATACACATTTCAAGAAATTCTTATAAATGAGCATTTTTCATGAAAATGGCAACAAAGAGCCTATTGCAGACATGATTAGAATGATCAAATCAAGGAGGATGAAATTGGCAGAGTACATATCACGCATGGGAGAAAAGAGGAATGCATGCAAGGTTTTGGTGGGAAAGCCAGAAGGAAAAAGACCACTAGGAAGACCTAGATATACTCGTAGGTGGAAGGATAATATTAAAGTTGATTGTAGAGAAATAGTATGAGGTGGTATGGGCAGGATTCATCTGGCTCAGGATAGGGACCAGTAATGGGCTGTCATGAACACAGTAATGAAACTTTGGGTTGCTAAGTTGTTGAGAAACTTGTGAGGAGTAGCTGAACGACTGTTGGCTTCTCAAGAACGACTTACTTAGCTCCATTTAGTTAGTTACTTGCATGCTTCGCTGTGTCAGCATACTGTGTTCCTATAGTGTTGCACAGCACCATGATAGTTTTATTGTATAGAGAGGTAGTTAGATGTGACATCACATAGTTTGGTTGATAGGTACCACTGTTTCAGGCAAACGTACTTTCACGTCTTCCATGAAGATCTAGGAAACTGATTTCTCTGATGCACTGGTACATGTGTGGTCCATTTAAAAGTTTCGGAACTTTTGAAATAGCACACCAAATCGACATCTTGGCAAGCCATGCTGCCTAGCAGTGTGCTTTTTGATTATCATCCTTTTTTCCATATCATCCTGCTATGATTAGTCATCACCCTAGAGCTCTTTGTTCACGTGCATGTAGTGTGTATCTTACGATATTCGAGGTGGCTGATATTCATGAGCAGTGTATTAACATTAAATTTTGCTTCAAACTAAAGAAAACGTTTACAGAGATTTGTGAAATGATGAAAAACATTTATGGTGATCAATGCATGAGCTATACATATTGTTATGAATGGTTTAAGCAAATTAAAGACGATCGGAAGTCAACACACCTCGAGCCGGGTTTGGGACAGCCCTCAACGTCATGTGACAATGCTTATGTTGCACAAGTTCGTGAAACCGTTCATTCTAATCATCGTTTAACAGCGCAGGAAATAGCAGAAGAGTGCAACATATCGATAGGATCAAGTCATGACGTTATTATGACAAAATTAGAAATGCATTTGGTAGTTTCAGAGTTTGTACCATGACTTCTGACACAGGATAAAGAGAGACAGTCACATTGCCAACTGTCAGGAAGTTTTGGATTGCGTTAGCAATTATGAATACTTTCAGAAAAGAATTATAACCAACGATGAAACATGGGATTATGAATACAATATGGAAACGAAAAAGGCGTCTTCACAATTGGTTGGAAAAAATTCGCCAAGACCGAAAAATGCATGGCAGGTCAGGTCAAACTTGAAAGTCGTGTTGACTTTTTTTTTTTACATTGATCATGTTGTACATCATGAATTCTAATGTCAGGAACAAACAGTGAATCGCTGGTATTATCTCAAAGTGCTGAAACGTCTAAGAGAAAATAACCTCAGTTGCTGAGAAACAACTCCTAGTTCCTCCATCATGACAATGCACCAGGTCATGCATTACTATTGATTCGTGATTTTTTGACCAACACGAACACAACTGTGTTTCCTCAGGCACCCTACTCACCTGACCAGGCTCTGGCAGACTTTTTCTTATTTCCCACACTGAAATCCATTTTGAGAAGATGACAATTTCAAACGATTCAAGAGATTATGAAAAATTCACAGATGGAGCTACATGCATTTCTGAAAAAGGCATACCAGGTCTGTTTCAAGAATTGTCAGTGGCATTAGGAATCATGCATCAATACAGGAGGCGAATACGTTGAAGATGATAAGACTCACTCGTTTGCAGGCATGTAAAAAAAAATTATAAAAGAATAGTTCCAAAACTTTATGAACAGACCATGTATTTTCCAAACAGTATGGTGTCACACCCCAGGAGACTGCAGTTGTCACTCTTCTGGCTAGCATTTGGGTTGAAGTATTTGAAGTGGAGGAGGTGTCATGTATTCACTACAGAAATTACTGTTTTTTTTTTTTAAGTTATTTTCATGTTTATGACTGTTTCAGGTCGAGACTGTGAACATGACATTGATGAATGTTCGAAATCACCAGAACCATGCAACAATGGCATATGTGTCAATAGTGTGGGTATGTATTATTGAAAGAAATATTAAGCTGGATCTCAGAGAGATAGGATGGGGTAGTATGGACTCAGGATAGGAACCAGTGTCAGGCTCTAGTGAACAGGGTACTGAACCTTTGGGTTCCATTAAATTCTGTGAAATTCTTGACTAGCTGAGTGACTGGCAGTTTCTCAAGAAGGATTCAAATCCATGGTATTTCTTTTTATTTGCTAAGTGGGGGGTGGAGTTCAGCTGGGTCCAATCTGCACAGCGGCCACTGATTGACCTGTTGTACCTGCCCCGGGTGATTATGATGATGGACAATTTGGTGGAATGAAGATTGGTAGGGGAAACCAAAGTACTCAGAGAAAACCCACCCCAGCGCCACTTTATCCACCATAAATCCCACTTGACCAGACCCCGGGATCGAACCCGGGCCGCCGAAGTCGGAAGCCAGCAACTAACCGCTTGAGCTATGGCGCGGCTGCAACTCCATGGGATTAGTTACACGTTATTGAAAGAAGCAGCTGGACAACATGGAAGTATGGGTTCATGCAAACATTTTCCTGTGTGCAAAGTCATTTGGATACCTTACATAGGGAATTGCCATCATAAATATTGCATTCTAAATTCCAACTGCCTACAGGAAGCTACCTCTGTTTCTGCAGTCCTGGGTTCACTGGTGACCACTGTGACTTAGACATTGATGAGTGCTTGTCACAGCCTTGCCGAAACAATGCCACATGTGAGAACAGAATAAACAGCTACCATTGTGTCTGCACACCTGGTTTCACAGGCAAGTATCTTCTGCTTTTTCTCTCTTCCTGTTTAGCTATGTCTTATATGAGATTTGAGGTTCTCCCAAGAGTGAATATTAAGATATTGTAACGTGTTTCGTTACTGAATATGCTGTAGAGATCGTTAATTGGTTTATTGAACAATCTACAACTATCGGCTACAATTAATTATCACAAAGTTACGGGTTTCTACAGTTTACAAACCCTACAACAAAATCTCTTAACACTGTCTTCAAGAGTCTTCCAGTATTAATAACGCGGGAGCTATACAAGTCTCCCTGAATTACACACTCCGAATATAACTGGTGATCACTGGTTATCGCACACGCGGCTGTTATGTTTCAACTCGGCGACTGTTACTTTATAACTGACTGTGAATAGCCTTCGCTGCTTCTTAAGTAGCCTCGATCGGACAATTGTTGCCTGGTGCCATGTTGCTAGCCACGCTGTCCGGAGTTGTTAACGGCTGCCTAGTAACCGCGATATCCCTCGGTGACGTCACCGCGTTGACTTGCGTTGCCTAGCGACCAGGATGCTAGGACTCGGCTAACATCGGCTCGCTTCGGCTTCGCTCGGCGCATCACGGCGGGCGGAGGGTGGGGGGGGGAGGGGCATCATTCAGAGCTCAACATGTCACAATATGATATCCTGGAATGTGATACATTCTGATAGACAGGTGTCAGTGTTTCGAAGGAATATGCTGCATCCATCTTCACAGTCCAAAAGAACACAATCTGTATTTCTGTTTTGTACAACTTACTATTCCTGAACAATATTTCCTCATTAGTTAGTTACCATCTTCCGCATAATAGTTATATTCCATTTCGTAACATTCTAATAAAATACGTTTCACATCTTCCTCCGTTATTTTACTGATGAGTGTTTTATCTTTAGGGAAGGACTGTGGCATCGATATTAACGAATGTGCATCAGTTCCATGTAAGAATGGAGCAACATGCATCGATGATATTGCTGCCTTCAGGTGTGTGTGCCCTCCAGGTCTCACAGGCACTCTCTGTGAGATTGACATCGATGACTGTGAGGTAAGAACCCCAACCAAACAATAGTTATTTTCTGTTTTATCTTTCCTACTGAATGAGATTTGAGTTCCACACAGCAATGAATATTAAGGTTACAGTGTTCTGGGATGTTAAATCATACTCATCTGCATTGTAGAAGTGTGTTCTGAAGATGGAAGTAGCCGGTTCTCCAAAATATTTGTACATATCTACTGAAGTATGCTGTGACACATACCAGAAGACTAATGTCATAATATTCATCATTGTGAGAACATCGATATATTATTTCTTGTGCTAATGTAACACCCATTGAGATATAAACAGGAAGTCTCATCATTTCTTATATAAGTTCTGTACTTCTCCTGCTTTCTGCCATATTCCTTTCCATTCTTACATCTTACTGAGTGATACATTGTGACTGATGTTTAACACCATCTCCCACTAATAACAAGCACAAATAATCAATCATAAGCTGTGTCCTTTATATAGTATCCTACATTTCACATAAGGAGTTGGGGTAGCTCAGTTGGTGTAGTGAGGGACTATGGGCTGAATATCCAGGGTTTGATTCCTGGCAAGGGTAAGATTTTTCTCTTCCCCGTAGCATCCAGACCAGCTCTGGGACTCACCCAGCTGCCTGTCTGGGTGGGTGGGGGGATTTCCATGGGGATAAAGCAGCCAGGGCCTCCTTCTAGTGCCGAAGTCAAGAATGGTGGAGCTATACCTTCACTCCCTCACATATCTTCAGGGCATAGTGCTTAATTAATTAAGCATGGGGATGACAACTTCTTCTCGTTTTAGTGCTTCACATATCCACTTCTAAATATTATCAATACTTAACAGAACAGATACAATACCTTGAAAGAAATGCCACTAATTTCTGTGTGACCTGCTACATAACTTACTTTAATACATTGTGTCAGCACTTCACACTTCATCCCTCTGGAGTTTGAAATTACATAATTTCAGAGTTTGCTTTGCACTATCACATTTCTTTTCATACATACATGAAATGTGTGTGAAGATCATTGCAAAGAAAGTGCAATCAATATGGGATTTAAAATATTTATTGGCCTTCCTCTTGAATTGAAAAGCATTGAATATTTTAATGTTTTTAAGAGGAAACTAAAAAATTGTTTGATGTGCAGAGCTTTCTGTTCTCTTCAAGAGTTTTTCAATTAATGTTGAATTGATGACTAGTTTGTTAATTCTCTTTTAGTTTGCAGTTTATATATTGTGTTTACATGTTTTATATTACTGATATTTTTCTTTTGGTGTTGTGTATCTTTTATTGTTACATACCTTATAACAGTCGTTATATCATCGTGACAGATCATTGTGTAATTTTTATGAGACTTTGACATGTGATGTATTCGCTGTTATTTCTTGACATGTCCAGTTGTATTCACTTCAGTTATGGATGAAAATAAAGATACAAGATTTCAGCAGCAAGTTATGGATCTGAGTACCAGCTAAGAGTGTGAGTTCCCATTTGTCTATGCTTTATAATTCTGTTTCCAGCCCTTGCCATGCCATAATGATGGCGTGTGTGTCGATGGAATCAACAGCTTTCTGTGTAACTGCTCAGACACTGGCTACGAAGGTTACCTCTGCGAGAAAAACATTGATGACTGTCTCACTGCCCCATGCACCAATGGAGCTGAGTGTCATGATGGTATTAAGGACTACAATTGCAGCTGTTTTGAAGGTTATGCAGGTGTGTAACAAAGACTTATCTGCACAAATGAGACCAATGTTTTTGCTGATTATATACTACAGAGTCTTCTTGCAGTGGCTAATACTTAATTTGGTATCCAAGCCTACGTACTCGTTATATATTTGTTTCTTCTCTTTCATTGGTCTCTTTTGATAATCTTCCTCACTTTACCTCTCCATCTTATTCTTTCCAAAGGTTGTTTATTTGACATCTTCATTCTTGAAGCTGTCAAACAAATACTGCTGTTAAGAAAGCAGTCTTCTGGGATTTGGCACCGTGTATATGTGGTGTTAACCGATGTTTCGGAGGAACGTATCGCCCCCATCTTCAGGGTTGAAGAAAAAGTTTAAGAAATCTGCAAGCGACAACACCGTGAGAAACGGTAAAGCAGTCTGCTTTACCGTTTCTCACGGTGTTGTCGCTTGCAGATTTCTTAAACTTTTTCTTCAACCCTGAAGATGGGGGCGATACGTTCCTCCGAAACATCGGTTAACACCACATATACACGGTGCCAAATCCCAGAAGACTGCTTTCTTCATAGTCACCGCCGTGAAAGCCTCAAATCTTACAAATACTGCTGTTATCCACATGTAACACATTCCTAGGCCTCTGTGTCCTTAATGTTACTGACCTCACTTTAGTATTTCTTCAGTGCTATGACATGATGACCTTAAAGCATTTCTGGACACATCTTGAATGTAAGCCAGTGATTAATTACTGGTGTGAAAAGTGTTTCAAACAGTAGTTCCAGAGAAAAATGAAACAAACCTTGTATTGTGCCTGATGCACTTTTCCATGAACTTTTGTTGTTTGGGGGAGGGAGAGAAAGTGAGCAAATGTGGGATTGTTAAATTACGCATATATTTTATAACTTCTTCAATTTAATTTTGTCTGTTTCTTCCAGGCAAGAATTGTGAAATTGACATTGACGAGTGTGAGAGCTCACCATGTCAGTATGGAGGCACCTGTCTGGAACGTTCAAATCAGTCTTTATACCGACCGGCAGGCTCCCAGCCTGCTCTTTTCCCTGAGAAATTCAACTACATGTCTGCCAGTGGGTAAGTCATGTCTATTTGTCCATGGAGCCAAACTTTTTTGAACCTCATATAATGTGAGCAGTAAATTTATGTAACTGTTTGTGTTTCAGGTATAAGTGTGTTTGTGTACCAGGAATTACTGGTGAGAATTGTGAGATCAATGTGAATGAGTGTGACCCAGAACCTTGCATCCATGGGTCCTGCAAGGACGTCATTGGAAGCTATGAGTGTGAGTGTGAAGATGGATACGAAGGAACCCAGTGCGAAATAGAGATTGACGAATGTGAACGCTACACCCCATGTGTTCATGGCACATGCTCAGACCGGAAAGCAAACTATTACTGTGATTGTGAGCCAAAGTATGGTGGGAAGAACTGCTCAGTGGAACTGACAGGATGCTTGGATGGGCCCTGCCTCAACAATGGTACCTGTAAGCCCTATCTCGAGAACGAAACTAACCAAAAGTACAACTGTTCATGTCCAAATGGTTTCCATGGACAGAATTGTACTGAGGTATGTAAATGGTTTGTGATAGGTTCATTACTGTATATCAATTAGTACAAATTCTTCAAAGGAAATATTTCTGTTTAACTATCCTTTCACTTCTTGTACGTTTGCCATGTCCCAGTTTATGGTTAACTTTCTGCTGCCACTTCCTGAGCCATGTACATGCAGTCACAGGACCAACATCCAGCCAAATTAGAAAGTTTTTATTGCTTGCAATTTTGAACATGTTACAATCATCGTCATTTATTTTTATTTATTTTCTTAGGTGGAAGAACTTATTATGTAAGTACAGATTTTGTCTAAGTTAAATCTGTTGGACACGACATCAAAGTTTTACACCATTTCTGGTTCTTTTTTCAGTTATTGACTTATTACAAGTATTTCACACATAATGTGTGTGTGTGTGTGTGTTGTGATCTGTCTCCATAACAACTTCCAAGTGCGTAGCAATGCATTGGTTCCTTAGTTATCCCCCGTTTAATGAAAACTAAATGAAGATCTAAAACAGTGACAGTTTTGTTGTTTTACATTATACAATAAAATTACCTCAACAGAATGATTATTAGTATGAGTATGAGGGGTGATCCATAAAAACTGGCTCTTGCACCGCAACCTTCAATGATGTATTGTGCTTCCCCTTTTACCTTAACAGAAGCTGTAAGATCTGTTACCATGGATCATTTCAGGGCTATATGTTAAGTGTTAATAGTGGCACTCTGACCTCCTCAGTTGGTGTGTCCACTGTGTTATTACTGTTTGCTAGAAATTAGGAAGTATAAGGTTAGAGTGACCTCCATGTTTTAACTTTTAATTATTTCAAACGTTGAGGTGACACAAAAACAGGCACACATATCTACTCACCTCATAAGCCTATTTCTGGTTCTTAAGGAAGGAAAGGAGGCTAACCAGGAACTATTTCTTGTCACCTAATAATCAGAAGAGAGACAGAAAAACAGAAAAAGTTATAGAGGTGAAAGCCTTTTGTATATGAAACTTAGCAGATTTTGTAAATTATTTTCACTGAATTGTTTCATATTTGGTCCGTTACACTATCAATCACAAATTGTCAATGAATAATCCGTCAAGTGTAACAACGTTCTTAGGTCACTTATTTATTTCGCTCGCCTTACATGTTTCGGTTCAAAAGTGCCTCTGATGATGGTTCTTTTGAACCGAAACATGTAAGGCGAGCGAAATAAATAAGTGACCTAAGAACGTTGTTACACTCGACGGATTATTCATTGACAATTTATTTTCACTGAGTTAATCACAGTTATATGTTGCAGTCTTCTTTCAGGTTTTGAGATTCTGGCTTACAAAGAGATCAAAGCCCGTGGTTTGTTGCGATACTGACATGAATTCTGGTTTTGTAGGTGACCACAATGTCCCTTAATGGCTCATCCTTAATTCTGGTCAACACGACCCGTGAGGAGGGCTATGATATTCAGTTTCGATTCAAGACCACTCTCTCGAATGGGTTGCTTGCCATTGGAAAGGGTTCAACATTCTACATTCTTGAGCTAGTTCATGGGAAGCTCAATCTGCACTCAAGCCTGCTCAATAAGTGGGAAGGTGTATTCATCGGCTCAAAACTGAGTGACAGCAACTGGCAGAAGGTGGGTCTGCTATCTCACTTCTAACGCTTTCACTGTCACAGAATGGATCTGTGAATCTGAGTGACTTACAGCATGGTATATTTGGTTACCAGTTGGATTGAAAGGCTTCTTGCACCTCTCCTGCTGCATGTTTTTTTTTCGTGAGCACTACAGCCCCAGTGGGCCTAGGCCTACCTCCATGAACTTCTCCATTCACTTCGGTTTTTCTAGATCTTACACATTCGGTAGGATTCCTTGGGCGGTTGATCAGCTTGTCGCAAGGCCTCTACCTGTACACAAGCAAAGAAAAACGCACACACACAAACTAAACGTCCATGCCCTGAGTGGGATTCGAACCCACGATCCTGGTTTCCAAGTGAGTGAAGACAGTACATTCCTTAGACTGCTCGGCTACCGTGACCAGCTCCTGCTGCATATACTACACATAATTCTAGCAGTAGATGCTGACATCTTTTGGCTAAAGTTGTTACATTGTTAGTTTCAAATCTCAGTCAACAGGTAATGCTAATCCTCCCTCCCCAAAACTATCATGTTGTACAACATGAAAGGGTAAAACACCCTCAGTCACCCCACTATTCCCATCATTTAACAGACAATCCACATTACAAAGCATACACATACATACATTAAACCACAGCCACTTCATCCCACTTTACTTATTTTAATACTTACCATCGTGACATTAAACAAGACCAGTGTGAAACTGCAGACAACCTCAGTTTCAGATTACAGGTTTTTTGCAATTTAATATTTCATTTTAGAGCATACCTTTAATGTCATAAATGGATTCACTTTAGTTTGTAATTCAGTGATATTGTAATTTATTTATGAACAACCTGATGATGATCTGTATGATCATGTAGAGGCCAAGAATAACAGGAACTGGTGATATTGAGCTGTTATTTCTTATTTGACTATATTAACAATTTGTTGTATAGGTTGCCACCTTGTGATAAAGTGATACTGCCATGAGGTTTGAAAGGGTGGTCTTCATCTGCTTGCTCTTGATGTATCACCACTTAGTGCATTAGAGACAGAAACCAATGAGTCAGTGATACATCAGTGCAACAGGATGCTCAAGTATAATATTGTGAAGTGGATGGCGTAGCGGGAGGTGGGGGTCGCGTGAACTCTGTGATCTCGCGAGTGACGTCACATACCCCCACTCCGTCCATCAGTGTGCAATGCTCAGTAGACACCCCTTTCCCCGCGGTGACGTGGCAACCATTGCCGCAATGATGTAATACAGGATGCCGCGGTTGCTATGCAGCAGGAAACAACTGCTGACAGCGTTGCTAGGCTATCGGCAAACACGGCGTCAGACAACAGCGGTACCTATCACGTAACTGTTTTCTGTCTTGTCTGTGCCGAGGCTAAATAAGGAGCAGCGAACACTATTTGCAGTTAGTTACGAGTTAGCCAGGGAGTTAGTAGTTAGTAGTGTGTGAGCCGGAGCGACACAGTGCGGATCAAGCCATCGCCAGAGACGGTTGAAATGTAGCAGCAGTCGCGGGAAGAAGACCCGAATGCATGGTTGGAAGATTTGATATGATAATCTGTGATAGTGCGCGATAACTGAGAAGTAAGGCAGTGAAGACTTATTGTGTGACTTAAGGACTCTGTGTGTGCTATAGTACAGTTATACTGGGAGAGACTTGTGTAGCTCCCGCGTTATAAATACGTAAAGACTACTGAAGACAGAGTGAATAAATTATTGTGCAGGGTTTATAAATTGTGAAAACCCGCAACTGTGTTATCAGTAATTGTAGTTACGATTTTTAGTTTGTTAAATAAACCAATTAACAATCTGAATGGCGTCTTCAGTGGCAAAACACGTGACAATATTATTGTACTTAGTGAATTACACAAATATTATGTAAGACATTCTTCATTTTCTGAGGTGCATTTGGAGATGACTCTGCTGCTGTCTTCTGTTCATTGGTTGTCATTATACTGGCAGATTGAAGCCTGTCTATTGCTATAATCAATTTTGCAGGTTTTTGTTGCGATCAACTCTTCACACCTAGTCCTGGCAGCAAATGAAGAGCAGACGATCTACCCGATCAACCTGAATGAGGCCACCAATGTATCCTATACAAGCTTTCCAACAACATACCTGGGAGGCACACTGCCATACCTGAGCGGCTTAACACATGGTCCAGCCTCATTCATAGGTTGTACCGAGGATGTTGTCATCAACGGTGAATGGGTTCTGCCTAACAAACACGTGAAAGAGGCGCCGTATGTGCCCATTACACTGATGGGTGTGGAGGTGGGGTGCCCACGTGAGGACCAATGCAAGCCAAACCCATGTCACAATGGTGGCACATGTACAGATCTCTGGAGGAACTTCACTTGTGCATGCGAGCGTCCATATCTTGGACACACCTGCCAGTACAGTGAGTGTTTTGTCTAGTCAGTATAGGGACCAGGCTGTTGTTTTGACTACTGAGGCATCAGGGTTTGATCCCAGCAAGAACCAAAGACTTTTCTCTTCTCCACAGAGATCACTCTACCTCTGAAGCTTACCCAGTTTGCTAGCCAGTCAGTACCAGGGGCTCTTTCTCTGAGCGTAATGTATGTGGTGCATTAATCTCACTAACCCACTTCTAACTAGTACCAAGACTAAGAAGCATGGAGCTATACCTCCATTCCCCCATATGTCTTAATGGCATGATGCTTAATTAAGCACAAGGGTATCTTTTACTTTTCTTATCAGGTAAAAGAGTAAAGATATATAGCTCTTTATTATATATTCTCTACATTCTTCTGTTGGAACACACTGTACCATAATTGGTTGAGGCACTATGCTTCAAGGTGGAACGTCGCAGGTTCAGTTCCCCATGGGGTCATTGCATTTTTCAGTTGACCTAATCCTTCCAGCTGCACTATGGCCCTGGGGTCAACTCAGCAGCTAAGAGAAATGAGTACCAGGAATCTTCATGGGTGGTAAAGGGTGGCTGGCGTGTAAGGCTGGCAATCTCACCACCATATGTAAGCTGATTGTCTAGAAAATGTGGGAGCCTCCTCATCTCACCATCCTATGGGCCTCTACAGCCTGTTACAGGGACAGCTTTTACACTCCTCTGTTACTTCATACCTTTCAGGTCAAAGGATTATAACATGTTAATGACTATTCATGGGTTTTGGATTCATTGAAGACTTATAACTCATAACTACAAGTAACTATAATAGTATCACTAATCTGCACACTTTACAAATCTCTATAATACACGTACGAGTCATTGCTAGATGGCGGCTCCCAACAGTGGATATTCCTCAGCTTCCATGCTCATGTCCTTACCAGCTGTCAGCTGTGTCCCAACACACAAGGTTTCTGCTGGATTTGCCTCACTGTAGCAAGTGACACTGACTTTTATGAAACTGAATATCCTTATCACTCATATCGCAGGGGTTAAAGGTGAAAATTATGATTCTTGTGGGATATGATTGTGTAGTTTGGTGGGTAGGTACCAAGATTTTGGAGGAACCTGCTGCTTGCTTCTTCAGGGTAGAAAGTAAGATGGAGGTAGCAAGTGCTTCCAAAGCATTGGTACCCGTCCACCAGTGTAGCTGATGTTACATCACATAATAAAGTAATCCTAATACAGTAAACCCTCACTAATCTGGTTACAGTTAATGCAGATCAAAAAAATGAAAAATTCTCTTTCCAGTTGAGTACGTACTTTAAAAGACCCATGGGGTTTAGGAGCAAGAGGGATTTGAGCAGGAGTACTTTCAGACTGTGTTCAGGGCAGCTGGAAACCACGCAATAAAATATCCAAGATTGGCTTGAGCTGGATGAAGGAGACCCTGCATTTCAGCTTCTGGCAGAGGAAGTGCAGTGTTAATTTTGTATTTATTTTCATCAGCACCACCTATATTATTAAATTTCCCATTTATTTGTTTATTTTTTTTATTCTTTGTCATTATGGCTGTGTTTTGCTTAATTAATCTGGATTAAGGCTTAATCCAGATGGCCTTTCCCCCCATTGAATCCAGATTAGTGATAGTTTACTGGTGCTAACTTCGCTGACAAGCAGTGGTCACTTGGTCGGTATAGTTTGCTTGTGGACTACAGGCCACAGAGTTTTACTGTATTCATGACTGTGAAATCCTCAAATAGTTAATTACATTAGTGAGGAGTAGTGTCATCTGTTCTTCATCTCGTTTTGCTCAGTATATATTGATCAGCTCCATCTCATGCACCCGTCAGACTAGGTTTCATGTTTTACTTGCTGTTGAGAGCATAGCCAGCTGCCAGATTGCTTTGTAACATTAACAAGATAATGGAGAATGTCAGTTTAATTCATAGGAAGAGTATGTTGTGCAAACTAAAATTGAAATATTTTTAATGATTTTTAATGGTTTCACAGACAAGGAAGGCACTGACTGTAGTGCTTATGCCATATGTTTCAGATTTGACAGCGGCAACGTTTGGCCATGAGAACATTACAGAGAGCCTTGTGACTGTGATGGTGAATGACAGAGCCCGTAGATCAATACGTAACGTTGTGGACATTTCAATGTTCATTCGGACCCGTCAGGAGGATGGCACAATCTTTTACTTGGGTTCATCATCAGGCATCGGCTCTGGTGAGGAGACCTTTATCCTTGCTCAGTTGGATGCTGGCGAACTGTTGGTGAAGATACAGTTCAGTGGCACACTGGAAAAATATACTGTGGGAGGTCAAAAGCTGGCTGATGGGTACAACCATCTTATACAGGTACTTCATCACCACTTGCAACAAGTCAAAACATTTTTTATATTACATTAATAATCCCACTGAACTGATTTTGATAAAATTTGGTATGAAGACTCTTCTGGGTTGTATTAAAGATACTGAAGACATGTTTTAAAGCAATACAATGGATGACTAAAGGCCAAATGATCACTGTATTCCAGGAGACTGTCATTGCTTCTCTGTATGCCCTCATGATGACCTAAATTAAGAAAAGGGACAATTTTAGATCTCTACTGTTACCACTTGGGAGCTGGGATAGCTCAGTCAGTATGGCGACTGGCTACGGGCTGGGTGACTGAGGGGTCAGAGTTCAAATCCCTGTAGGGTCAAGAATTTTAACTTCTCCATGTCATCTAGACCGGCTCTGGGGTCCACCCAACCTCCTATCCAATTGGTACCCGGGGCTCTTTCCCCAGGGGTAAAGCGGCCGGGGCATGAAGCTGATCACTCACCTCCAGCTAGTGCCATGGTCAAGAAAATGTGGATCTATACAGCCATTCCCCCATACGTCTTCATGGCATAGTGCTTAACCTTTATCGGACGAACGTCGTCATATGATGTCGTTAAAAGTAAGGGCAGCTGGCCGAACGTCATCATGATGTCACAGATTCCACGCATGTAAGGTTTTTTTTTTAATATTATATTAAAAATATAAATTGTTGTTCTATTTACATGATTTTTGGTCACCACCTTTATAAGGAGACAGCCTTCCTTCCTGCATGATCTAATGTAATCTAGCGACGTCATATGACGTTAAAAGTAAGGACAAATTGAAGAACGACATCATATGATGTTGCGCATTGCACGCGTGTAAAGATTTTTTTAAAATTAAATTTAAAATATAAATTGTTGTTCTATTTACATAACTTTTGGTCACAACCTTTATAAGGTGACAGCCTTCCCTCCTGCATGATCTAATGTAATCTACCGACGTCATATGGCCGAACGACCTCATATGATTTCGCATATTGTACGCGTGTAAAGATTTTTTAAAATTAAATTTAAAATTAAATTTTTGCTCTACTTACGTAATATATGTTCACCATCTTCATGAGGAGACAGCCTTCCCTCCTGCGTCATCTATGGTAATGTGGCCTTCGTATGATACTGCCGAAAACATTCCGAAATGCAGAGTCCGACGTCGCAGCTCACGCACTTCGTACGAACGCTAGACCGCTTCCCACGCGAAAAGCACACACAACACCTCAGTTGCGATTTGGAGGAAGCAGGCCAGTGATATCAAGCTGCAAGTGATATTTATCCCCGCAGCTACACCGGCATAATTATTCACATCTCTCCAGCCACACTGGTCTGGCGGTCCCCAAGTTGACGATGAAGGTGATGACCCTACGTCCGCGGATTCAGAACTCCTACTTTCATCACCCCTTTCAGAATCGGTTGAATAGCAGTCCGAATCTGTGTCATTGAACAGCTGTTTTTCACTTTCAGCACCTTCCATA